TTCTCTTATATCAGTCCATGTTTGTAAATCAGGACGTGCCATAAGAAAATTTCCTGCGTCATTTATTAATTTTGATTTTATGGCGGTAACCACATACTCTTTTTGAGCATTTTCACCAGTATAATAAGTTTGATAAAATTCATTGATGTTTCTTATGAAATATTCTAAATATTGGCTTTCGCCACTGAAAGGTTTGATAAGTTGTACGATTGATTTTAAATTTTCACTCATTGTTACGGTTAGTCTTTGATTTTGGTTGTTACTTCTCGAATTAGGATTGTAAAGATGAGTTAAATTAAATTGAGTCAAGAGATTCTCGATTTCTTCTTCAGAATCTGACATATATATTTCTTTGAATTGTTAAAAGAAATTATCTTGAAAATTTAGAAAAATTCAAAATTAAAAAGTTTTATTTCTATTTTAAAGTTAAAATTATAATTAATTATTATGCGTTGCTTTTTCTTAAAAATTAAAAGTTGTTGTGGGTTTGTAAATTCTTTGTTACTCTTTATTTTCTTGATTTCAGTCTTTTCAGCAAACCGTTTTGGAATTGCAAAAGAACAAAAATCTGAATTTAAGTCTTCTCAGTAAATCAAAAATTAGAAATTACAAATGATCAAAAATCCAAAAATCTTAACTATGGAACACCAATTACAAAATGTATAAAGAGAAAGGTTGTACTTACTAGGCAAAGCTAATAACAGTAGTCTTTCTTCACACGTTGTTTCTTGTTATTCCTTATACTCAGTTAACCAATTCGAAGTGGACAGTATCTGGAACGTTTAATAGCAGCACTGATAATCCAAATTTCACTTTTCCGAAGAATTCACTTTTTCGAACTTCCTTCAGTCTTTTGGAATTTTCGCGACGGATTACGACTGTATCAACTCCCGAAACTTAAGCACTCTGAGCATCCGAACGACTGCGCCAATTATATTTTCGATTCAGAAACTTGTATTTTAAAAAACATTTATTTTATTGATTAAAATACAGAGGTGACAAAAGAAAATATTCGGATCAAATTGCTACAGGCTAAAGCCAGAAAACAAATGAACGCTCCTTATGGGGCTGCGTCGGCTTAAATAAACATTTACTGCCGACATAGCAATTTGATGTTTACTTTACAACAATGTATTTAAAAAGTCCTAGAGGAAAGGGGTAAGCACATTAAAGCATATAAAAAATAGATAATTGATTATAAATCAGCATGGCAATTGGTTAATATAACTTACCTACAGTACAAATACAATACACTTTTTTCTGTTATTCAAAACAGCACTTAGAACGAGTGATTTCTGATGACTATAAAGTTTCAATTCGAGCCGACAAGAGACTGGAGAACACGAACGTCGATCTATGCACCTCAGACGAAGTCTCCATCATAATTCTGGACAATGAAAACACAAGCCGTGACATAATTGTACACCGAAGAAGAGAATGACTACAACGCATTGCAGAGATACACCGTTCATATGATGCCCTGCAATATGCATTGATATTTTTATACGTAGAAGACAGATATCATTTTAATTTAAAACAAATCCAACATAAAACAGGAGTAGAAACAAACAAAAAGTGACTTCCAAGGAGTTCAATGCTCACCGTTACCGTATAACGTAATTTACCAAGCATTTACGTAAAGCGCTATTTCGAATAACGCCTAAAAAATAATATAGGTTATGTTTTTGTCCCATTGTTCAAAAAATAATAAAAAAGCCTTGAAATTTCGAATCCTCTGACCCTGACCATAACATAAATAAAATCACAACAAGGTTCAAGTTAGGCTAAGGTTATAAAATAGTGGATGCGAACAGGCAAATTTTACGTAGAACTGTTTTCAGAAACAGTAAAAGTATGATACCGCTTCACGTAAAAAAATAACCCCTGACGTTATTACCGTCCATATACGCGCTATCTGATTCACCGATATCTCTCTAATGAAACATACAATCACATTATCAACACTCGCCGTTTATTCCAATAATTCCTGGAATACCTATAATGTATGTAAAAATAGAAGCGGAACGGTTGCTTTACATAAGACTGAATCAGAAGAAACTACGAACGGTAGAATACATACACCTTCGAGACGCGATCACGATGACGAAAGCATTGACGTCATTGGAACAATGGCAATCTTACCCTCATCTTACATAGGAAGTCCGAGATATATGCAGGAATACACTCAAGATGCCATGACCTACGTAAGAAATTATGAATGACCTGACCTCTTCTTAACTTTCACATGTAACTCATCGTGGCCAGAAATCAAAAAACAACAAAGATACGGACAAGTCGCCATGGATCGACACGATATAATAAATAGCCCGGTTTTTCTGACAGAAACAAATGATATTTATTGAAGTCATAACAAAATAGGTACCTACCACATCTTTGGAACCGTTAGATGCTGGATTTACACAATGGGCCACTTTCACATTTTTCAAAAACATTTTTAAATTATACTTTTAGTCATTCTAATACTATCTGTATACTTTTTTTCCGAAAAAAAAAACGCTTATTTTTGAAAAAAAAATTATTTAAAAATCGAATTTTTAAACTGGCGTGAAAAAATGAACTTGGTGTGTGACGTCACACACCAGAAAATCAAAGATGCCAAATTTCTCATTAGTAAATCATTACATAATTCACTAGCTAGAAACTATTTTCGTCCTTTACTACATTATAAAAAAATAAAGGATAGCTATAATCCTTATTAACTCATTTAAATTTCGCATTTCTACATGTGGCAACAAAAATGTCAAAATCGGCCTTAGCCAATCACAGAGCGTTTTCAATCACGTGATTTTTCGTTTAAATTTTTAGTTTTTATTTATTAATTTATTTAATAATCTGACTAAAATCTTGCAAAATATTGTTCATTCTTGGTTGCATTGATGTATCTGCGTCAAAAAATATTATAATTTGCCATATTCCCGGCACGTGAAAGTGGCCCATTGAATGCCAAAAGCGAGGACTGCCTCATTCAGACAATCTCATCTGGCTACACGACAGAATTCATCCTATTGTTTGCCCAGTGGATCTGAGTCTACGGAAGGAATTCGGACGTAAATGTGCCATGTTGCCACGTTTAATTATATAGAAGCGAAAATACTAGGCACAACAAATTAACTCTACTTCATTAATTTGAAAATCCATTTTTCAATAACAAAATATTGATAACAATAATAAAACGCTAAATATTTTAACGTGGTTGTTAGATCTATTTTAATCATGATTTCTTCAGTTTGGTCTATTGTAAAAAATAAACATTTTCTAAAGATACCATCAGCTTTTGACAATTTGGCAAGCATCTGTCCTGGATGCACCTGATTGGTGGAGTTTTTGGCAGGATCGCCGTTGTCATGAGGAACCATACGGTTGTCAATAAACTAACGTCACCTTATGTCTCGCTATTGGCCAGGGCTCACGTCATTTTATCCTCCCATCTTGGAATATCGATTTATATTAAAATATCCAGTGGTGGAGATTTGGTCATTGCTGATTTTCGTGTACGAGTTGCAATACGATAACACTTCCAAAAAGTTCCGCACGCAGCTGGGTATTTTATGAATGAAATCAGCCATTTTTTTTTACAACTGCATTCCCCTTACCGTTGCCCCGTAGACACAGACTCGCTGGGCAGACATTACGTATATCGACAAAATTATTCAAGTTGAATTTCCGAATCTACAAGAATATGCGTAGCTGTACGACATTGTTGTAAAAAACATGATTCACGGATCATGTGGGCCATTAAACCCCAATTCGCCATGTATGAGTGATGAAAAATGTACAAAAAAATACCTAAATATACGACACACAAACCAGAGATGGGCTATCCCAAATACAGAAGACGATCACCTAACAAATGAGAAGATATATCAACAGTAACGAAGCAGCGTGGCGGATGTTCGGTTATCCTATACACCAACACGAACCACTGTGCAACATCTAGCAGTAAATTTAGAAAATGGAGAGTTTACTTCACAAAAGACACTGCCAGAAAAATTGCAAGCAAACCACCTAAGAACACAGCACAACATTGACAGCTTTTTTCCAACTGTGTCAAACGGATCCATTAGCGAAAACATTACTGTATTTATATGTTGATGTCGCTACCTATTATACGTGGAACACAACAAACAAAATCTTCCATCGACGAAAACAAGGAATTCCAGTAGGGAGTAATTCAGGAATCATGCCAACTAATGCACTAGGCCGAGTATACACCGTACATCTGAATAACCCCAAATGTTTCTATATCCGGATGTTGCTACACAAAATACGGCAACCAAAAAATTTCATGGATCTCAAGACTGTTGACGGTTATCGATGCCAAACGTACAGAGAAGCAACCACTGGGTAGAAACTTTACAAGAAGCCTCAGCTGAGTCAGAGACTTATTCACCATAATTCTAACTACATCTAACCCATCGAATCCAAAACAGCTATGGGACTCCTTCAACGAGAGTACGAGTGATAACATACCTACCAAATCCGACAAGGTAATAATCTAGAACTGGCCATCGAATTCAACGTTAAATTCAATCATGAGAAATTCTTCTTTAGCATCAAGATACTAAGTAAAATTTCAATTGATTTATAGAAATATTAGTGAAAAAGTTAATTCGGTATTCTCCCTAAAAAAACTAGATTTTCGATAAAGCTTTAATTATTACATTCTGTTTAAGTTGAGGTTAGAAAAACTAAAATGTTGCAGTCGAAATATTGCATATTCCCTTCACAGTCGCTTATAAACAAATTATGGAATTATGGATGCGTTGTAACAAATTTGTGCATGTAGGCGTCTTACATCCCAATTCACCTATATACAAACTTAATTAATAATTAATTTTAACTCGTTAGGTTTGAGTTTGACCCACAAATTAAAAAAGGCCACCGTGGCTGGACGGAGTTTGATAGTCATTTAGTTATGCATTTGTCTTGCACTAAAAACCATCATAATTAACAAGTGTAGCTTGTGTAGGTATAAGAATATGTCGCAATTGATAAATACCACGGAAAAACAAGTGACGGATAGTGAAAATAAGCTCGAAGATGAACAGGATAAATCCACTATGCGGACTTTTTTTAGAAGACGATGGCAATTGTGCGCTAAATCTCTGGAACTGGTGCGTATATAAATATTTCTTGGAATCTAGTAATAATAATTTTAATTTTCTTCTAGATTCTGTGCATCTTATGTATTGGATTGATAATGGAACCTGTAAAGAAAAGCGATACGGCGAGAGTGCCTTTGCACCACCTGGCACTAATTTTTCCAACTTTTATCGGATACCTTCTAATAGTTTTGCTTTGTTTGCTAGCGAAAATACTTGGTGATAAAATTCCATACAGGACTGGATTTATCTTCTCAGTAGTCGCGTCATGTCTGTTTTTCGTCTCAGGAATATTGCTGGCAGTGGACAGGAGAAAGCCCTTCATGGATTTCCAGCCTTTGCCCTACGTGTTTAAATTATTAGCTTCTTCTGCCGCTTTTTCATTTGTTACGGCCATTATTTTTTCTGTTGAAGCTGTTTATGTTTGGAAATTTAGGGAAGATTTTTAATGGAATATATATGTTTATTATCTAGTTAATTGCGAGTGAATTAGTCATACGAGACAAAATTAATGTGTCTATTAAAGATTATTCTTAATTTATTTATGTAAAATTAATGTATGAATAAATGTTAGAGCAATATTTCGATTTTGATAGATAATGGGTGATATGAATAAAAACGAAGTACTTGCTACTACTACAAGTATTAGTACATGCTACGCAGTATTTACTTCAAAAAGAAGCATTTACTAATTTTCGCTGGTTTCGAAATGTAGTACCTATTTACTTCGTTTTTAAGTAAAAACTACGGAGAATCTACTAATACTTGTAGTAGTAGCAGATACTTCGATTCATACCACCCAATATAGGTAGGTAATTATTCTAAATAGTAGGTACCTATGTAAATTGAGAAATGCAATTTTTGATATTTTTGTAAATGTACCATGGTCAAACCTAACTGATTAATGATTAGTGATCAATCATAATCAAAAACTGGCCAATAAAATATATAATTATTGTCCGATTTCTCCAATTTTGCTGTGTCAACCTTAGATTCTTCCAAATCAAAAATTATATTCACTAAAGAGGGTGATTCGTCGGTTAGGACAAAAAAAAAATAAAAGGCCTGGGGCCCAATTCTTGAAGAATATCGCATACGAAATTTGAAATGATTTCGAACGCTTCCCATTTAATTTACATTGCTGTCAGTCAAATTCGAATCAAGTTTCGTATGCGAAATTTTTCAAGAATTGGGGGCCTGTTAAGTCTTTGCCAACGTTTCGCCCAAAAGTTTAAGGCTTCATCACATCAGGGCTAAAATATACAGGGTGACTGGTAAGTGGACGTATTCCTTTAAGTAGGTGAAAGTAGAGCCCATTTCCTACCGATTAAACATCATTTACCTCTATATCATTCTCAACGGTATTGGATATATTTTTTATTTTTATTTAAAAAAAAATCACTTTTTTGCGAGGTAAATATTTGAAATTAACGAAATAATAAGGAACGTACCTAATTAAGAAAGGTGAAGTTTAACACCAATATTTGACAACGCTTCTTTTGCAACACTTGGTATTTAAAATAAATCGAGTAATTTTTTCTTGATATTGCATTAAAATTACAAATTAAACTTAACAAATATAAATCCTGAAAACAGCGCTAATTGCACTGGTGTCAAGGATACATAACAAATATGATGTGTACCTAACTTCAATTAAATTTTAACTCATAGCATATTTATTACAAAATAAAAATATAAAATAAAAACAAAATATATAATATAACCATTAACAATAGAGAAAACAAAACAAAAAAAGGAGAAAAAAACCAAAAAATAATTATAAAATAATAAATAATAATAATAACCTCACCCCGACAATTATTGAGATCATCACCCCTCAAACCCATGTGCAGCAAAAAGACATATTAGGTTCTATACCTCGGGTTCTACTTATTCAACTAGGTAATTTAGCATTCCGTTTGAGAAATTATTAACATTATTATCCCAATAGATATCATGCTGAGTCCTAGACCTATCTATTTTTACCTGGTATGCGCGCGCAACTCGAGACAATTCCTTTTCATTGGCTTACTAGTACAGGTGTGAGGTGATCGTTTTGCACGCTGGGCATCTCCTTGTCCTTGTTCATTGCCCGTGGTCTGACAAGAATAAACGTACGGTTGATAGTCAACTTGACAAGTGTCATTCAAAAGTTGTTTGAAATTTTCATTGACAAGTACGTTGCACAACACGCGGTCTTCCTCCTTCCCTTTTTATCCCGTGCAAATAAGAAAGACAGATTGCTATACGTAAGTCTAACATAATTTGGTATGTTTTGCTTCGTCTTGCGCAATGAGCATTCTGTGTCTTTTTTTATCCAATAAAGTTTTCGTATTATTACTTCTTTGTCTGGTAAAATAGATAGGTCTATTCTCACATTAGACTTCTGAATTCTATTACTCACTTTAAACATGTATTTACTCTGTTCAAGTATAAGTAATTTTTTCAACATTAAGACGCCCAGACTCTCATGCAGCTCCACAGTGTGTGTACGCCAATCAAGCTTAAACAACACCTTCAATACCTTATTGTGCAATACCTGCATTCTATTAAAATCCACCTGACCGCATGAACCCCATATAGGGAGTAGGTACCTAAAATGCGACAGGAAGAATGAATTGACGTGTCTCGTAATACCTGGTGTGCGCGCGCAACTCGTGGGATGCAGGTGAGCGTCCAATGAAAATCGAGTTTGTTACGGGCTTGCGTCATATTCTTATTCAGGGACGAGTTCAGAATAAATCGTTCCTTCTTTCTTTGTAACGTGTAATTCGACAAAGAGCAATAACTGATACTTTACTTATTACTTGAACTTATCGCAGTGTCGTTTAAGGTTATGTTAGATTATACTTGACATATTCCTTTAAAATTTCATTGTGCGATGTTGCCGGATAAAACATTCATCAAAATAAAAGTGCCATCGATGATAACATACACTTTAAAGTTTTTCTTTTATCTAATTTAAGGCGTTGTGAAACACGTGACAATATATCACTTCTTTAATGTTATAATGTTCGATTTGTATTGTCTACATTTGTTCTGCAATAATACAATCTGGCTACACTGCAACCACGAGTTGCGCGTGTTTCTGTCTTTTTCTTCTACAGGTCGATTAAAAGGATGCAAATACACTCGGTGCGCACTGAATCTACCAATCGGAAACACCATTTAGTTTGTCATGATTGATACAGTATTTACGGAAGCGCAGAGCGCAGATCTGACAATCTTCCCTCTATAGACCCATTTATGGTAGTTCATTATCAGTCGTGGCGTGGTGTGAGCTGATCGTGGACCAATCCTTCTTCAGGACCCAAGAGTGAACCATGAAAGCGTGGACCACGTTCGTTATTCAACGGTCAGCGTAAACTACCCTTAACTTTGGTTTATGAACAGTTGACGTCACCGAAAGCGGCCATGTTGAATGTAGCTTTTCCGCGCGAAACTTTTCAATTTGAAACTAAAAATTGCCTTATGAGAATAATATCGATAAATGAAATGCAAAACTGCTCATATTCAATATTTTACAGAAAAATGTGCACCATAAAAACAAAATGAGCCATATTTATTTCTCATGAGAATTCCCTATTGTGATAAATACAAGTTGGAAAGTAATAAAAGATGACATGCGCGCGCAACTAGTGGGTTGCAGTGTAGCCAGTTTGTATTGTAGCAGAACAAATATAGACAATACAAATCGAACATTATACCAATAAAGAGATTTTTTACAACGCTTTAAATCAGACAAAAGAAGAGCTTTAAAGTGTATTTTAACATCGTTTGCACTTTCATTTTGATAAATGTTTCATCGGGCAACATCGCACAATGAAAGTGCAAAGGAATATGTCAAGTATAATCTGACATAATTTTGAACAACACTGCGGTGAGTTCAAAAGTAATACGTAAAGTATTAGTTTGCTCTTTGTCGAATTACACGTTGTAAAGAAAGAAGGAACGACTAATTCTGAACTGAATAAGAATATGAAGCAAGCCAGTAACAATCTCGCTTCTCATTGGACGCTCACCTGTAACCCACGAGTTGCGCGCGCCGTCAAGGTAAAAAAAGATACAGGTCAATTGTAAATATACATCCTGCTTCTATGTGTCAAATAGTCTCGAACCCTATGTACAGCGCCTAGCATTGGAACGATTTTACCAGTTATATGCATTATGTGATCCCTCCAATTCAAATTTTGATCTATAATCATCCCCAAGTATTTAGTGCGTGTTACTTTTTCAATTGGAATATTATTTACTCTTATAACTGGGTCTCTAGATATTTTATTCTTTTGTTTAAAAAATATGAAATTTGTTTTTGAAATATTGATCCTCAGTTTATTGCATAATAACCACTTCGAATACGTTTCAAGATCTGTATTCACAACGCGCTCCAGGTCCTCAAGGTCCCCATGACTATACACCAGAGCTGTGTCGTCTGCAAATGTAAAATATCTATAGTCAGACCAGCCCTTCTAAGACTGAGTACATGAAGCGAGTACAACAGTGGCCCAAGGACAGAACCTTGTGGCACCCCACACACACTCACCTCAGTGGTACTAACTAACTGATCAACATTCACTGCCTGCCGCCTATCATATAAATAAGATTTTTAGAATATTATACAGGGTTGGTAAAAAGTACTGCAACACCTAAATATCTTCAAAATTGCTTAAGCCGTGTTCACACAAGTCGGAATCTGACAGTTTTTAGGCATGCAAAATTCAATAGTGCTATTGGCAATGTTGCCAGATTTCCCAGTTTTGCGCTACACGTAGTCGTTTTGTTATCTTAAATAGAATGGCCCATTTATTTTTATTGCAATGAATTGTGCGTGCCAGATTTGATAAGACTACAAATTTTCAGAATTCTATCTCTACTACTTGTTGAAATATGACAACACCGTATTTTCGGTGAAAAGTATCGCAGCGCTTGAATATCTTCAAACGCCGCTTAAGCTCGTCCACTAAATTCGGTACCTATCTGGGGATTTATGGGCAAGCGAAATTCAACTCTGATAACGGCATTGTTGCCAAGTTTCCCAGTTTCGCGCTACACGTAGTCTTGCTAGTGGCTTATAGTTTTTTTTTTTTTTTTTTTTTAAATACACGTTACTTGTTCATAAGGTATTCATATTTCTGGGCGTTTCTGATAACTTTGCGGCTCCTCCTGAAATAGGTAGGAAGGTAGATAACTATCCCAGAATGATTCTAACTATAGTAGTATCTAACAATACAAGAAGCATATTGAAAATTTGGAATCTCATTAAAATTTGGACCAATTCATTGCAATAAAAACAAATGTGGCTTTTTATTTAAGATAACAAAAATACTACGTGTAGCGCGAAACTGGGAAACTTGGCAACAATGCCGATATCACAGCTGAATTTCGCTTGCCCATAAATTCTCAGATACCGAATTTAGTGGACGAGCTTAAGCGGGTTTTGAAGATATTC